AAACCTGCTTTCAATTAGCCTCACTGCTGTGAAAACCAGATCAGATCCAGGGAGGGGAGGATTCCCTAGCTGGGCAGGAAAGAAAGAACAGGAGCACACTTCAAAAGGAAGAGACTAAATAAAAGCCTATGGAAAGAGGCTTGCCCTACATTGGGGAGAAGAGCCATTGTCTAGGCCTCAATGGCTGGTGGGTTTAAAGCCTTGAGCAAAGCCTCTCCGGTGTGCGCTCAGTGGGAGGTGCTGCTGCTAATTGGCAGAAGTAGTAGGGATGGCTCATTGGAGGACAGTACTTGCCTTGGTGCTTTGCACTGCTGGTCAGATTTAAATGTTGACTCAGGTTCAGAGATTGGGAGCAGTTTAACTCTCTTTTCCAGCCCATGGAAGGGGTAAAAGGTGGAATATACCTCCAGCCATATTGCTTCCCTTGCTAGCAGTGAGAGCTGGGCTGGGGTAAGTGACTTGCTCATGATCTCTCAGGACAGAGTGGGAACAGGAGCCAGATCTTGTGCTGTAACCACAGGACCATCTTCCCTCCGTTCTAAGCACAGCTCTATTGTGAATCTCAACAGAGTGATGGATTCTATGTCATATGAGTTGAAAACTATTACACAGAAGTGGTGGGGAAGGGAAAGGAGGTGGCCACATGGCTTTGCCCACCTCCCGCCACACTGTTTGGCAGAGCCAATCCTATAAAAGGCTGTAGCAGTGGAGACTCTGGAGTGTATTTGGCTGGGGCACAGGACTCAGAATCGGAGGTGGGAGGTGCTGCTAATCAGCAGAAGTGGAGGGGATGCCATTAGTGGATGGCTCATTGGAGGACAGCACTTGCCTTGGTGGGCTGCTCTGCTAGTCAGATGTAAACATTGACTCAGGTTCAGAGATTGGGAGCAGTTTAACTCTCCTCTCAGTGGGAAGTCACCCCACTGCCATCATCCCCATGCAGCCACCTTTTTGCGCCACTCTCGAGGTGCAAAGGGACCAGAAAGCAGCTACATCCTGCCAGCGGAGAATTTCATCCACCTTGGGAGAACTTTCATCACCAGGCCACCCACCCAGGCCTGAGGTAGGGGATATGTCACGGGGCAGGGAGGACTGCTCCTGGAGAAGGTTGTACTCTGGCCACCGGGCTATGGTCTCTTGTGGGCTGTTCCTAGATGGCTTAGATAAGAGCAGACACTCAGCTACGCTAACCGATGCTTGGGTCAGGGCTGATACAGCTCTGTCCTCAGAATCTGGGTCACTCTGACAGGCTCTTTCTCTGCTGCACTGAGTGGAAACTCAGCACAGCTGAGAACCTTGCACTTAGTCTGAAGGAGAATGTGCAAAAATGAAGCCAAATGAGAAATCCAGATTTTAGTGACAAAAATGTGAGGAAAGCAAATGGCTTCGCATTCCATAATCTGCCCGGAACCTACACACAAGGAACCTGTCCCTACCCATCTACCTTGTATATGGGCCAGGAGGTAGAAGCACAGGGATTGTTCTGCCTTTACTCTCCTGAAAGTGTCTGGTTGCCCCAAAAGAAGGTAGGAAGCAGTAAGGGGGAGGCAGGAACAAAGACATGGCAAAAATGAAGCTAAACATCAATTAACTTTAATTAGATTTCTAGCATTGAAATTTCAGACTCTATCTCTGCCCTAAGTGCTTCAGTAAAAAAGGTCTGAAACCAGGAGGCAATGCACACAAAAGGGACAATATTAAATAGGATTTGCATATTGTCTCCCCAGCGATGCCAACAAACATGTCAGGTTAGCAGCAAGAAGTAATTGACTTAAACTGCAGACAAGGAGATTTAGGTTAGAGATTAGGAAAAACTTTCTAACTATGAGGATAGTTAAGCACTGGAATAGGTTACTGAGGGAGGTTGTGGAATATCCATCATCAATGGTTTTTAAGAACAGGTTAAACAAACACCTCTCGGGGATGGCCGAGGTTTACTTGATCCTGCCACAGCCTGGGGGACTGGACTAAATGACCTCTCAAGGTCCCGTCCAGCCCTACATTTCTATGATTCTATAACCCAGTAACATCTTATTTTCCATGTGACTGCACAGCAGTTAGCTGTTAAAACAAATACAATCTGAAATAGTGCATTCAGCAGCAACTCTGTTCAACTGTTGGATAAACTTGTTCCAAAAATCCCCAACTCAAGCCTCTTTTATCCCTACTTGTCTGGTTATATACAATGCTAATAAAGGCATTTAAAAATTAATCTCCCCCTCGTTGACACAAAATGGAATCCAGAGGAGGCAAATGTGACAGTCATTTCACAGCCAAGGCTCACAATGGCACCTGGGGAAACGTGCACCTTTACTTTCAGTTTCATAATAGACTTTTCAGCTCATGGGAGATAAAGGAGAGTCGTCATGTAAATGAGACACCTGTTCCTAATAATTAGTGGTTACAGAGCATTTTTCATCTTCAAAGTGTTTTCCACACGCTCATTATCCCCACCTCTGAGAGTGCTGAGTGCTGTAGGTCGCTATCCCCCTTTCTGCAGATGGAGAAAGGATAAGAGCATTTCAGGAAGACACCCGAAGCCTGCAGATGATTGGGGGAGACTTTGAAGTCTATGTTGACTTGAAAATAGCAGGGTTGTCTTCCCTGATTACAGAGACCCAGGTGGCCTCCCTAAGGCCTGCTGGCTCCTGCAGTTCCACTCCAGCGCCAGCCCAGCAGAGCTGGACAACTCCGTTGGGCTGGATCTTCAGTCAGACCTCAGGGGACATGTCTGACCTTTGGATAACTGAGCATTGCAGTTAAATGCGATTCAAATCATTAAGCTTTGACTGCACAAGAATAAGGCATAGCTGTTCATTTTCCAAACTAAATGAAAAGTGTTTCAATTTGTCACTAACTGGAAAGCTAAAGCCTTGCTAACCCAGCTTCCTAAATACAAGGGAACGAACCCACTGGATGAAACAAAAGACAGACCGAGGGACAGGTTTTTGTTTTTCTACCAGCGCAGTCTCGGTGTGTGTGGTGCTCACAAAGCTGCTGTTCTCTCTGCAGACAAAGGTTCATAAGTGCAGTCGTGTTGAGGTAAAGCACCCGGGGCTCGGCAATACAGAACAGGCATAGCCTTCTGAGCTGTGCTAGTCCCAGAAGGATGTGGCTGAGGGCTCTACATCAAACCAGCTTATTCAAAGAAAAGCTGGCTTGAAAAAGGGGGCAAACTTTCTCCTCAGCAAGGCCTGCTCTTTGGGAGCACCTTGCAGAGCTGGGATTAGTTTTCCCTGCTGCAAGCCCTTGATACAGAGGCATCTTCCATGGTCCAGCAGCTGCAGAGGTTAATTTTACCTGCATCACGTCCCAAAGGAAGTGACATTGCTTATAACACACTCTCCAACAGGCTCAATCCCAGCTTGCGACTACAGCTTTAGTATTGACTTTTCTCTTTGTCACTTGGCTCTCTTTAGTATGCATTTTTAAAATGACTATATCTGCTTTATTGGCTGCTACATGCCTAGATGACTAGGGCAGTTGCAGATGACCTAATTATAGATGACAGTGTTGAAGTTTCTTGACCTGGAGAGAAACACTGAGAGTTTAGGATTTCACTGCAGTTGCCCTGAGCTAGCAACTCTCAAAGTGTCTCATAAAGCCTCACCCTGTGAGATAGGTAATATTATTATTCCTGTTTCATAGCTGGTAGAACTGAGGCACAGAGAAGTTTGGTGACTTGCTCAGGTCACACACCTCAAGTCAGTGGGCGGGCAAGGATATGACCCAGGAGTCCTGATTTCCAGTCCTCTTCACTTAGTGCCCATTAAACTCCACTCCTTCCTCCCCAAAAGTCAGACCATAAAATCACTGTTTTCTAAGGTCTAAAACACATACAAGTAGAATGGACAGGGCTCAAAAAAGTTGAATGGGCTGGGCAGGCCTGAGTTACTATTTCAGCATTAAGAAATCCTAATTGTTTTTTAAATATAGCAATAATAAAACAGTTACCCAGTGTCTTTTGTGCCTATTACTCAAAGTGATGTACACATGAGATGCAAACATAAAAGTAGCAGCACATTTAACTAGACAGCAGTTGATTGGCTGGTAGCAGATATTTTAAAACTAAATCCAGAGCTTAGGAGAAGTAGACCTTGTTGGGGTTGTAACACTCCATAAATGTGGTGATATTAGGCCTGTATCATGAAATATGCCCTGGTGAAAAGGCATAACATGTCGGTGCATCTTTTGGCCTGAAGTCAATGGCAAAACTCTCACTGGTTTCCATGTTGCAGGATCAGCCGCTTAGGGCCAGGAAAGTTAATGGGAGTTTTGCCATTGACTTGAATGAGAGTAGGATCATGCCCCATGGCAACTTTGGAGACAGAGTTCCTCCAGCAGGGATGACAGCTTCTGGAGCTCCAGTGCATCCTGCTTCTGTTCCACTTTTTTACAAGGGTACAGGGCAAATGTCTCCTTATGCAAAGCCAGCTCGGCACTCTTTTCTGGGAGCCAGCACCAGTGTTGCTGGTAGCCTTGTGTCGTCCCAGTGCTCAGGATGCACTCCTGCCTTACATATGCACGAAGAAGGGATGGAAGATCCTTGTATCCTCTCCTCACAAACATATGCACCCACATTGTGCAGAGAGCAATACATCCCTTATTGTTCACAAAGATTACAGGGAGAAGGAAGAAATGGCTGTCAGCCTGCAAGCAGAAAGCAAGGTGCACACTAGATCAGCATATGCAGGTTGTTAGCTCAGGACAAAGCAGAAATGTTCTGCTGTGTTTACGCAAAGTAAATATGTTCACCCCAAATACCATTGCGTAACCATTTGGTGTATAGACTAGTTGGGAGTGGCAGTGAAAAAAACACTCTCCATGCAATGGAACAAAAAATTTTTTTTTTAAAATAGATTACAAAATGAGACTAAAAATAAATATCTAGAGATTGTAAAACAAATTTAAACAGAGATTTTTTATTTTGCAGTTTATTAACGTCGTGCATATTAATAAAAAAAAAAAGAACATTAAAATGAACGTTAAGGGAAACTTACCCCATAGACTAGTTCACCCACCATGCCATTCCATATCTTAGACTCAGGGTCCCTAGCTCCGTATTTCCCATCTCCAACAATTGACAGTTTGTATTTTATTCCAACATGTTTTGCTATTTCATAAGCTAAGTCTACACAATATCCTTCATATCTCTCATTCCCTTCTAGTTGTTCATGGTTTTTCTTATACATTACATATGGCGATTCCTTTGAAACAAAAGCAAAGATCAAAAGTCTATGAATATAACACATGCCTTTAAAATATGCAAAACGAGAGCTGTTATAAGCATTATTTTATGTTATTGGCAAATATCAACAATATTTCCTGGGCTGCTCTTATATAGTAATTGGAAAGATTTCCAAGTCAGCTTCACATAGACATTAAAGGCTTCCTGGCAAGACAGAATAGTTTAGTTTAACAATCCTTAGAAGCGCAACTGAAATTCATCAATGGCCAGATCCTGCAAACACACATGCAATTCGCTTTAATCACAAGAGTATTCCCACTAAGGCAATGGGGCTACTCACATGAGTAAACTTACAGTCTTTTTTCAGGATCAGGCCTGAATCTCCAGTAGATCAAAGATAAGCACACCATAATAATGCAGTACTTAGCTTATAAAGCAGTGATGTACCTGCTCCTGCTCCCATTGAAGTCAATGGCAAAATCCCCACTTATTTAAATGGTGCAGGATAACGCTGATGCTTGGATTTTCAAAGAAGCCTGAGGCATTTAGGTGCCCAGCTCCACCACATATCACCTAACTCCCGTAGACTTCTTTGAAAATCCCAGCTGAAAGGCTGAGTGTGTCTCACTAAATTATAGTCAAGTAAAATATGATCCTTCTAGCAATGTCATGAAACTGACTCATGCTCAGGACAATTGTAACAGGCACCAAAGGCACAAATAATACTGTATTACAGACCACATAAGCAATAGGCTTTAGAACTGACACAGATAACACTGACTATGAGATATAAGAAGAGCATTATTCTCCACAAGCATTGGATGTCTTTACATATTGTCAAAGCATTTCCAATTCACCGTGGGCCAGATTGTGCTATCCTTACTCAATCAACAGGAGCTGTGCCTGAGTGAGGGCTGCAAGATTTGGTCCTACAGCAGTAGGGACCAGATCCTGCAATCATGTACATACATAAGTAACTTTACTCACGTGAGGAGTTCCACTGAGTTCAAGTAACTGAGAAGAAGGAAAGCACAATGTTGAGATCAGTGGGACTCCTCCCGTGAGTACATTTACTCATGTGTGTAAGTGTTGGCAGGATCAAGCCCTCCGTACATCTCTGGAGGTTGCTGAACTTCTCAGTCACTTGAAGTCACACAGCATTCAACATTGGGCCTTCTAATAAATCTCAGAATACACGTGTCTTCCCACCTAAGCACATACTGACTAAGAACATGCAACTTACCAGGATGGTCGTGACTACTATTGTTCTATTCTCCACAGATGAAGTGTCATTAGACACTTGCTGGTCTAGTGCTGGCACAAATCTTTCATATTCATTCCAGTAACCAGCCTACAAAAGCAGAGAGTGTTACCTAGTTACATATTTTTATAATGATTTTGGTGCATAAAACTGATGCTTAAATAGAGCTGCCCTTTTTATTTTAAAAAAGTGATTTTTATTTAGGATTTATTCAAGATACAGACAAATGAATATTGATCTAAACGTTTTTCTAGGACCCCTCATCAGCTATTAGCAAGGTCATGGGACACTTTCTTGCCAACATCGGGCTGTGGGAACCTTTTGCTGAATTTTTACATTGTTCCATCACTGAGTGTGTAGCATGCAAATAGATATGCAAAAACTATGTGAAAGTAATGTATGGTTCCGTATATACATATTATGTAATAATATATTTTATCAGAATACCCATGGAATAATTCCTGTATTTCTGCAACCAGGGAATACAACATAGGACAAGAAAATAAATTGCAGAATTCTTGAATGAACTACTTTTAATTTGCATCCTTAACTGTCTCACTTGAACTCTGCCCTTAATCAGTCTCAACCTGGTCTATTTCTAGCATACTAAATCTCTAACCGACTGCAAACAGCTACTATTTAAAGTAAAACCACTCCTTTCAAACAAAACAAAACACAAATATAAGCTGCTACAAATGTAGGTCAGGTAAATGCAGGAGATAAAAATAACACTGGTCCTATTGCCGGAGGGGCAATATTTAGTTTTGGTCCAGTGACAAGGTTCAAGAACTGAAGTCATGTAGCTCTAGGGTTACATACACAGGCCGAGGAGCTGGGATTCTTGATATACAGAAGCATCCATTTCTAGAGTAAGGGTACAATTTTCAAAAGTGCCTGTGTGATTTAGGCACATAAGTCCCATTGACTTTCAATGAAACTTTAAGGCCAAGTGCATAAGGGTCAGATTTTCAAAGGTATGTAGGTGCCTAAAGATGCAAATAGGCACCTACTGGAAGTTTTAATGTTAGGTGCCGAATTCTAATTGAAATCAATGGGATTTAGGCACCTAACCTGCTTAGGCCCTTTTGAAAATTCCACTAGGCACCTATTTGCATCTTTAGGCACCTAAATATTTTTCTAAATCTGGCCCCCAACCACTTTTGAAAATGGGACTTAGGCTACTAACTCACTTAGGCACTTCTGACTATTTTATCTTAGGCCATGAGATAATCGTATTTTGAACATCCTGATTAAAAACCAAATGCTGTTTTACACTATTTTAAGAGGTTTTTAAAATATGTGGGTTCCAATTCTCTATTGCTCTGAGGCCTATAATGGAGAGGAAGGAGGAGATGAAAGGAATTTAGGAGAGAGGACGGGGCAAAGGATCTGAAGACACCACTGTAGGAGGAAATCAGAGTTGAGATGTGGCAGGGTAGGCACCTCAGATGTGAAGCTAAGGCGTTTGCTGTAGAAAGGTATTCAAGGAGTGAAGGTATTCAAGGGCAGGGGGGAAACATGAGCAGAATAACAAGGACAGAATGGAACTACATTCCTATAAAATTGCATAACTAAAGAATTAGGGAAGAGGCGAGATAAATGTAGTGGGAGGGGGATCTATCAGGTTTTATATCTTCACAACAGTTGTATGACATTGCTTGTTTTCGTGACTTTGCAGCAATACATAGTTTTTAAGAAGCCCAAGGAGAATACATATATTGAGAACTTACCTTCCGTGATCCAGTGGCTTTCGTTTCATACACGTCAATTGTGTAATTTGTTCTGCGTCCGTAGGTGTCAAACTGAATATTTCCAGTCATTCCTTGGACTTGTACCTTAAACAGGGAAATAGTAAAACAGTTACATAGAACAATATTTCTATTTTTTCCCTCTTTTATGTCCTGAAAGAATTTACTATCTCTGTGATCATTTCCATTAATATCTGTGCCCTGTCCAGCGTCCAATAGGGCCATTTACATTCTGTCTACCTAAAATTCCCCAGTTCTCCCAGTTTCAACTGCAAACATTATTATTCCTCACTGCCTATGAGCTGATGCAGAACTGCCACTTTCCATTGCAAGGAAGGCTGCATTTCAGTGCTGAGTGAATCCTGCATATATATTATATTCAAGGTCCAATTCTGCCATGTTTATTCACACTTGGTGAAATTCCCTCCTTTTCAATGGGCCAACACAGGGTGCATGTACCACTGAAGTGCCACATAAACCCTCACAATTAGGGCTCAAGTAGGGTGACCAGATGTCCCAATTTTACAGGGACAGTCCCAATTTTTGAGCCTTTTGCTTATATAGGCTCCTATTGCCTCCCACCCCCATTCCGATTTTTCACATTTGCTGTCTGGTCTCCCTAGGCTCAAGTGGTACATACTGCATAAGCCTTGTGCTATAGGGCCAGATCCTGATACTCTTACACCGAGTAGCACCTTATTCCACAATTAGACCTGGTGAAGTCAATATAAGTGAAGGTCTCAGACTCCAGCCCCATTAGAGGAAGAGTGGCAGAATTTTGTCTATACCTTGTAAAGAGATTGAGCTTTGTCAAGATGGATGATGCTACATAAATGTAAGTCGTTACCATTACTTACTCACATTAATAATTTTGAAGGAAGTATGAAGTACTTTGTTTCAAAGGCAAAAAAAATCTGTCTTTCTTGTTTCCCTAGTATTAAAGGAGGAGATACTTCAATTCATCAATTATCAATACTGACAAGCTTTCAGCTAAGACAGAAGAGGTAACTGTCAGAAACTTCAGTAGGATATAATTTATGTTAAATTTTAGGGAAATTTTATAGCAGTAATAAGAGTTGGGCGATAGAACAATTTGCTAAGGAGGCTGTAGAATCATAGTCACTAGAGATGTTCAAAGCTGGTCACTGATCTGCCAAGGATGGTTTAGAGATGATGTAATCGATCTTGTCAGGATGCACAGTGATGGATCACATAATTCAGTAAAATCCCTTTGCTCCAGATTTATTCAGTGGGCCAAATTCAGAGGTGATGTATAAAGAGTGTAAATTATGTGTCTGTAAGTGGATGTGAGAGTCAATGTTAGGGTAATTTGTGATTTGATGGGACTGGAAAAAGATGTAATTTCATCATCCTTGACTTTCTTAGGTTCAGCTCAACTCATTATGATTCCAAACTTTATTGAACTTTTATTGCAAACATAGAAACCACAGAAGCCCTGATTCAGCCATCCAGGCCTATTCAGCATGTGCTTAACTTCAGGCATATGCTAATTCTGTTGATTTAAATGGAACTTAAGCATGTGCTTAAAGTTAATGTCACCCACTCCATAAATTTATCAAGCTCAGTCTTGAAGCCAGTTAGGTTTTTTTGCCCCCACTGCTCCCCTTGGAAGGCTGTTCCAGAACTTCACTCATCTGATGGTTAGAAAGCTTCATCTAATTTGAAGCCTAAACTCGTTGATGGCCAGGTTATATCCATTTGTTCTTGTGTCATATTGGCACTTAGCTCCTCTCCCTCTCTGGTATTTGTCCTTCTTACGTATTTATATAAAAGCAATAATATCTCCCCTCAGCCTTTGTTTGCTTAGGCTAAACAAGCCAAGCTCCTTGAGTCTCCTCTTGGAAGGTAGATTTTCCATTCCTCTGATCATCCTAGTAGCCCTTCTCTGCACCTGTTCCAGTTTGAATTCATCTGTCTTAAACATGGGAGATCAGAATTGCACACAGTATTCCAGATGAGGTCTCACCAGGGCCTTGTATAATGGCAATAACACTTCTCTATTTCTACTGGATATACCTTGCATGATGCATTCTAGGATTGCATTAGCCTTTTTATGGCTGCATCACATTGGCAGCTCATAGTCATCCTGTGATCAAAACATCCAGGTCTTTCTCCTCCTCTGTTGCTTCCAACTGAAACATCCCCAGCTTAGAGCAAAAATTCTTGTGGTTAGTCTCCAAGTGCATGACATTGCACGTTGCACTATTAAATTTCATCCCCATTTCTATTACTCCAGTTTTCAAGGTCATTCAGATCTTCTTGTATGATAGTCCAGTCCTCCTCTGTATTGGCAATACCATCCAACTTTGTGTCATCTGCAAATTTTATTAGCACACTCCCACTTTTTGTGTCAAGGTCATGAATGAAAATGTTAAATAAGAGTGGTTCCAAGACCGGTCCCTGAGGAACTCCACCAGTAACCTCCCTCCAGCCTGACATTTCACTTTTCAGTATGACCCATTGTAGTCTCCCCTTTAGCCAGTTTCTTATCCACCCTTCACTGCTCATCTTAATCCCCATCTTCTACAATTTAACTAATAATTTCTCATGTGGAACTGTATCAAATGCCTTACTGAAATCCATATAGATTAGATCTACTGCACTTCCTTTGTCTAAAAAATCAGTTGTCTTCTCAAAGAAAGAGATCCAGTTGGTCTGGCATGATCTGCATTTTGTAAAACCATGTTGTATTTTCTCTCAATTACCATTTACCTCTAGGCCTTAACTACTTTCTCTTTCAAAATTTGTTCCAAGACCTTGCATACAATTGAGGTCAAACTAACAGGCTTGTAGTTTCCTGGATCACTTTCCCACCTCCCACCCCCTCTTTCTTAAAAATAGGTACTCTATTAGCTATTCTCCAGTCATAGGGTATGAACTCCAAGTTTATGGATTCATTAAAAAATCCTTGCTGTTGGGCTTGCAATTTCATGTGCCAGTTCCTTTAATGTTCAGGTCAGTTGTCCACTTATCGGACACTTTAGGTTCAAATTCAGGGGAGGAAATACAGACTTGCATAGTTTTTCAAAGATATAAGGATGCAGAATCAGGTAATACCAATCTGCCTTTTGTTGGCAAGACGACTGCAGTTTGACATTGAGTCTGATGCTTGGATCAGTTATTTGTAGGATGCTTGGATTGATTGTTTGCAGGATTTCTTGTACTGAATATTCTTTTTTTTTTTTTTGGTGTTCCATGGCTGATGTAGGTAGGAAATATTATTAACTGGAAGTCATAACTTCCTGAAGCAAAAGTGCAAGATATATCATCTAAACACAAAAACGCTTCATTGTGTGGGTTCTGGTAGGAATCAGGGACGTGTGATGATCTTGCGCTGGGTACTGAGTGGGGCTGTTGAGATAGATGGATAAACCTCTTCAACTTATGTTAGACTATTTAAATATAATGGGCTGAAATCACCCTGATGTAATTCAATATTCTGTGCCTGCCTCAATCATGAAATTGGCTCTGTGTATCTTATGAATCTTTTATTAAAGCGGCAGCCTTTTACCAACCAACATTTGGATTTTTTTTTACCTCTCTCAAACAGGGTGTGTCTTGTTGCACTGTTTGTGTTCCCGTTCGAGCCTTGTTGATGTGAGTACTTTGGGATCTCTTTTGAAGGGTTTATGTATCACTTCTAATTAAGTTCTAATTGACTACAAATCTTTTAACTGTTATGAAGGTTGAATTTAATTAACTTATCTTCAAAAGTGTGTAATGCTACATTAATGAAACTACAGTTAGGGCATTTGTTAGGGAACTGACACTGTGATATAAGAAGTGTTCTGACAGTGAGAGATTGAATCATATCTCTCATTCTATGAGAGAGGGAATTACCCTTTTGATGTGATCCTTCCAATTTGGCAAATTTGAAAAAGCAATAATTAAGCCAAGTGAATGAAGTCTGATCTAGGGGTCCTTTTTATAGCATGTGGCCTTAATTCCAATCTTACTCATTCCAGTCTTACACCAGTGGAGTTATTCCTGATTTCTACTGGTCCAAGTCAGAGCAAAATCAGATCCTATGTATCTGGTAGGTTTTCATTCACTTTTATGCCCCCAAATCAGTTTAATCTAAAAGGGAAAGGAAGACAGACAAAACCACAGGGATTTGATCAATACTAGATCTGATGCAATAACTAATGGTTAGTACTAGGGATTGGCCAAATAGGAGTAATCAAGTTGGAAATAGAGTTATGTTAGGGTTCCGAGAGCAGGTGTAAGGCAAAACTCAGGGCTAAGGTTCAGGCTGGTGCAGAAATCCTGCAATCTGTTAACATGGTCGATCATACTGTTTGTGCAACTTTTAGAAAAAAACATAAGCTGATTTTTGACTGGTGTGATATATAGATAAATACACAGGCACATATGCTCATAATATATACGTGGTTTACAGTACACCTCCTGAGGACAAACTGTTCACCCAGTTCTGTTTTATTTTGGGCCACATTTTTGACCTCAACCTAGCCTCAGAATATGTTTGCAAAGCTTTTAACACAGCCATTTGCAGAGATGCTAGTATACAGTACAGTGGGAACTGCGTCACATTGGCTAGCTATTACAATTGGTGCCCAGTTGTCGCTTTTCATTTCCTATGAACACTGAATTCTAGAAGACAAATTTATGGCCATGGGGAAGAGGGTATGTGTGTAACATACTGAACATGTCACCATGGCCCTTGATTGGATGGGATGTCAGACCACTCTCGTGTTTGTCATTACCCTCTTTACTGGCCTGGGTACAGGATAGTCATTGTTAGCTTCAGCACCAAGCCCCTGTGCTTATGGAGTAGAAGGATGTGAGTTCTGCCCCATTTGGCACGGACAGAGTCCTTACAAGTGCATTTGTTGCAAAGCTGCACATGCAGATTTACAGGTAGCTTTTGAAAGTTGCTTCCTTCATCATGTCCTTGTTGTTTTAAAGACTTATGTTGTAAAAATGTGATATACCTGTTCAATAGGTTAGGTACATTTGCCCTTACCATTTTCAATGCTCTTTCTATATCGATTCCTTGGCTCCAGGGCACTGCAGGGTTTGCTAGGCAGTCTCCAGCACTACCTCTCCTGGAAACATCAACACGCTGTCTTCGGAGGTAGCGGAAAGCCTCTGCTATGACTAGTATTGCATCATGGGTCAGTGCAGACGTATACTAAAATTGATGCAAATAAAATATTGTGACAAACTGCACTCTGGAAATTGCCTCAGGTTTATAAAGGTCAATTATTTCTCCCTGTTAAAATGTTTTTAGAGCAGCAACAATTTCACCCCCCCCCCCATGTCACATGTCATTTAGCAATTACATATATTTAAAGTAAGAAATTTAAAATGTTATGATTTCCTGCAGTATATAGAAAAATAGTTTATAGTTCTGTAAAGTACTGACTAGATTTAATTGGAGCACTGCCTATCTAAAGCAAGTTGATGAAGAAGACCTATAATGCAATGCTGGGCCATGTTGTAGCCAACTGCAACATACAACTCATATTTGAATTTTGATTGGATTTTTTTTTAACGAATTAACCAACTCAAAGAGCTAGGAGTAATTTAAAGTTAACATTAATGATTTCTGTCTCGCCCATGTTTCTAATTAGCTAGGATCCACGGCCAGCCATAAATTGGTTTATTTTTCTTACCAAAAAACCCAGCCCCAAAACAACCTCACCCTCGCTACTTCCTTATATTGTACAAAACTACAATCGTTACTCAGGTTATAAATCTGATATTCATAAGCAACAAATGTCTTTAGGAGATGTGTCTGTATTTTTTCATATCCATTGATTCATCTGAAAACTCTACTTTGCTAGAGACTGGCCCAACCTCTGGACACCGAGATATTGATTTCTGGCTATGCACTGCTGATGAGTGTAGGATTTAGACTACTTTGTGTGAACAGGATCAGAATTACATTTAACTACTATATAGAGAGTTCCATTGTAATCATATAAAATTGAATCTTGCAAACATCTGTAAGGCCTCATTTTGATGCTGCTGCATCATTAGATCCCATCCTATCTCTACAATATTTGTATGTAAATGAGTGAGAATTATTGGACTTCCAAAAAGAATCTAGTGCATGTATGCGCATTCCGGAATGCTCACCTGCCTCCTTGTACTTAGCAAACCTTACTGCATGATCATTTAGACCACCTTGCATCCCATTTGACTTACATTGTTGTGAAAACAAACACTACCCATGCACAAGTTGGAAAGATGGAATCCTGGATTGCAATAGCAGTTTTAGCTGCTCTCCTACAGGACATGAGTAAATCATAATTGACTTCAGTGGCAGTTACTTGTATCCTGTAGGGGAGAATAAAACTCCAGGTGGCCACTACGTTGAAACATGTTTTTGCTCTTATTGTGGGAGGCTGCCCATTTTGATAATAAACATGTAAAACATATGGTAACTTTTACAAAACTGGGAGGGGTGTGTGTGTTTATGCCGGCAGATCCAGGGAAACACACCTGATAAAAAAAACACACATACACCTCTACTCCGATATAACACGGCCCGATATAACACGAATTCGGATATAACGCAGTAAAGCAGTGCTCGGGGGAGTGAGGGGAGAGGGGGGTGGGGCTGCGCACTCCGGCAGATCAAAGCAAGCTCGATATAACGCGGTTTCACTTATAAGGCGGTAAGATTTTTTGGCTCCCGAGGACAGTGTTATATCAGGGTAGAGGTGTAGTGTCCAGGAAAAGATTTTTTTGTGCCAGCCATTCTTTCCAAGTTTTAAATTATGGTCCTGTTTATAAACACTTGACTGCCTTGTCCTTTTCATGGTGAGATCATCTTTACAGCTGTGATTAGCTGGATGCAGCTGCTTATTTCAATCCTTGTCTACCTCACCGTTTTCCCCTGTGGTTCTGGTATTGCAGTGTGCTCTCTCTCTCTCTAATACATTAACAAATATTACACGACACATTCCACAGAACAATACAGAATCAGATATTTAAAAAAGATATTTATTCTTGCATGAAAAAAATCTTGTAATAGCTTTCCAATCTAGCAAGACGTAAAGCCTGCATGATGATAATTTTTTTCAGTAGACTGGATCAATTGTCAGTAACCCTAATGCAGTCCCTTCCAAGTTATGCCAAAAGAGCTATCTAATTTTCTGCTTTATTCGAATTCTACTTACAAATGCATGAGAAGGCAAAGAAAAAAAGAGAGAGAGGGAGAGAAGGGAAAGGCTGATAAAATACAGAATAAATTAAACATCAGGGCTTTAATCTCTAGGTAATTTTATTCCCTAATCAAAAATATTGTACATCAATTTTTTAAGTACGCTTTTTGACTGATTGTGCAAGTTTCTATAATGAGCAGCACATTTGTACAAAGGTAATGCAATCTCTTGTTTTACCATACATCTAAGATTATTTTTAAAGGATAGAGAATAACTTTCCCCCCCAATGTAAATTGCTTTTAACTGGATTAAAATATGCTTAGGGTAACATCATATATTTCTGAGCTTTAAGCCTAGTATGATACTTCCCTTTACTCCTGTATCTTCTAGTAAGCTCCTCTAAAGTGAGAGGTGCTCCTGGCACTGTAATTAATAGGGGACATCAGGGTTAGCCCTGTTTTGTGGGACACTGGCTAACTCCCTCCCCATGGACTCTTCAGTGGCAGTGTGGCTGTGTCAGATAGAGGCATGCAGGGGGCCTTCATGATAGGCGAAATCCTGCCGTTGGGGGTGTATCTTCGAGTAGTTTGGTGTCAGCTTGGAATGAAATGGTTAGATGGAGCTGGTAAAACAGCAGAGATCATTAGGTTTCTTAGGGAAGAAGTGTCCATTTCATTAATATAAAATGTAGTAAAGGAATAAGAAATTTCTTTCCTTATAAAAATTAAGGAGAAGACAGAAGAACAGCTTCAACTATGAGATGGCTGGTAGACAGGTTTTGCATCCTTCCTATAAGGTTAGTACAGGTGTGGGGATGAGCTTCCCCCAAGGAGATCTGCTTTGAAGTGACAGATTTTGAGGCCTCCTCTGTTGGTCCAATTGTGCTACATTGCACTGAATAAGTAATGATGGAACCATCCTCATCTGTTAGCCACTCACTCTTCTGGAACTGGAGGGCCTCCCTTTCAGCTATGTGAGTAGGCGCAGTAGAGGAGGCCTAACCATTGGAGGAGGAGGGAGAAGAGGAAGAGAAAGGGAGAAAGGAAGAGCATGATGATAACACTAAGTATTTCGTATAGCCCTTTATGATTTCAAACATTGACTGATGAACCCTAACAAAACGCTCTGCTGGGGAGGTAACGGAATATCATCACCTCCATTTTACAGATGGGGAAGAAAACTAAGAGACAGAGAAAATCAGGGAGGGGTATTAAAAGGTTGTGATTCTGTTACTAGCACTACCCTTTTTAGTCCATTAGACGAGGGTGAGTTTTAGCACATCTAAGACATGCTGCATAGCTAGGCCCTGGGACCCCCAGCAGTCTGTGTGGGGCTTTCTCCAGCTTACCCCACCTAGACTACTCTGCCAGGCCTGCTGATGGGACGTGGTAACATGGAGAGCAAAGGGGATCAATAGGTGACATGTCCAGAACTGCTGTACATGTTTAGGGAGGGAAATTGTGGATGGAGGTTTCCTGATACATCAGTAAAAAGGGTGAAAAACTGTAATGTGCCCCAGCAGGTCTGTGGTAAAGGGGGAATCATTCTGATTCTTTGATAGCCCAAACTACCATAGCTATGGTTCCTAATCATCATGAAGCAGGTTGCACTTCACATCCAAGTGGCACTGGAGTCTGGGTAGTCAACAACCCAGTAGCAAATATACCAGAGGAACTATAATGCTTTTTACTACCCCTCATGCTCTACTAGACCTTATTCAACAGGGTGCAATATCACCTCATCTAGCTATGGAGACAAGTTGTTAAACTGAAGACAGACCCCCTTATCCAGAGGCGTGCAATACAAGAACAAACAGAGATTCTGATAACCAAGCTGCATCTCCTGCATTCATCACCTTTTATGCTCACTAACAATGCAGTGCTCAGCTGGAAGTCTACCTCTGGTTTTGACTGGCTTTGTATCTCAAAATCAATTTATTTGCCTGATATGCAGCAGTGCAAGTACAGCGGCACGGTCTGGTACGCCATACCAGCAAGATATTTATAGCCGGTACTGCGTACAGTAAAGACACAGGAGGAGCCGGTGGCCCCACGCCGGCAGCTCCTCCGGCGGCTGTACCGCCACCAGCCCCATCCACCCAGCCCTGTCCTCCGGCGGGGCTGCTGCTTACAGATGGAGGAGATTCAGCTGTGTGGAAGGGCAGGGGGCGGGGTTGGGGGCGGTAGAGCCGTGCCGGAGGAGCTGCCCAGCAGCCCCATGTTCTGCTCCTTTCCCCGCTGCGGTTCCGAAGTCTCCAGCGCAGCAGGAGGAGGACAGAGCCCTCCCCTCAGGTAATGTGGGATGGTTCATGGGGAGGGGACGTGGAGAGCGTGGGGGCCCCGGGCTGTGGGCGGAGTGGGGAGGAATCACATGGAGGGTCACGTGGGGAGGTCATGTGCCCCCCCCCTTAGCTGGTGCCCCCCCATACAGGTAAGACATGGATTCTACTTGCACCACTGCTGGTATGACTAGGTGCTGAATAACCATGCATTTAGTGGGTAGCCTGCATTACATCTGTGAGAACTCTCTGATCTATGACAGCACTGCCTGTTCATGGCACATGGTTCTTTACTGAATGTTGTTTGTAGAGACTTTGCCAAGACAAAAATTACCTGCGCAGTGAAGAATTGGAAGAAATGGTGTTATTGGGTTCTTTTGACAACCATGAAGAAGGATTTTATTGTAGAAGGTACCTGGGCAACTATTAAGACCACTTGTACATATACGTGATTCCACAGTAGAGCAATAGCAACAACTAAGGAATCTTAAACACAAATGGAGTCAAGTTAACAGCATCACACAAGTTGTGCGCTTGCCTGAGGAGTCAGCCGTCAGTAAAGATGGGATGTTAAATAGTCCTTTACATAAGGCAAAAGGAAAATAAAAAAGACATGGCAAATGCTCATTGCAAATGTTCATTTCTGAAGAGAAACCTCTCTCGCTGGGTGAGACATAATTGAAGATAAGGGTGTAGACGACGTAAAAACAGGCTCCTACCCACCTCAGCCTGAATATATTTATGTACAATCATATTCATGTTTATATTATGTGCCTCAACACAGCCGGTAAAAACATACAGAGACAATGGTTCGTAGAAGTCTAATAGCAAAAGCCTTAGCACGCATAACAGTGTATTTCCTTATAAGGGCAACTGGCTGTATGGAGTTACTGGGGCGCCATTCCCTAATGGGAATATTGGGAGGGGCTCATGGTGGCCCCATCATGAGTCCAATCCTACATCATTCTGCAGCTGGAATTGCCCGGTGCTACGTAGTTTGGACCCAAATCTGTACTTCCATACAATAAAGGGATGTTTTTCAGTCCTCTCTAACTGAAGTCAGTGGCAGTGTTACGTGTGGAATGACTGCCGGATGGTGCTCTTTGCCTCACAGAGTCCACCATTAAGTGTTGATTTCATGTTTCCAGCTAACAAACTCTCTCTCTTTTTGTCTTGCAGTGAGTGTTCGGACTCATTCTAAGCAGAGAAAATCATATACATATATATTTAAAAATGAATCAGATTTTTGCTAAAACACAATGCAAAAGGCTTCCATCAATGTCAATAAAAGTTTACCTTTAATGGAGAGTTCTTGGCTTCAGGGAACTCCCTTTCATCCAGTCTAATCCAGCGTTGTAGAAACTGTTGAACCATTGGGTTTTCATTGTTAACAATCTGGAATCCAGTAACATTGGCGCCTCCATGCATTACTCTCTCCAGCATAATATCTGTAAAACCCTGGAAGAATATGTGCAGAAAACAAGAACCAGTGTCATATGAAGTGTCTGCAACTTGGCTCGGTTTTAAAAACAAACGTTCTGGTAAGATGCTATTTTTAAATCTTGGGCTAGTTTAGCACAAAAGAAACTGATGAAAGTTCCCTGCTGCTAGTAGAAGATACCCTATCTAGGGGGCAATATCTTGCAACAGTAGATTGTAGTATTGGAATAAAATGGAATTTGGAAACACATGGATTCCAGACTTTTGTGATGGAACACTGGCTTGTTCCAGGGTGGCAAAGTTTCCATGTGATCCAAAACATACCCAAAAGGGTACACAATATTACACATAAAGCTCAGTAGAAGAGGGTGATTGGCATATGGGTTAATGAATTACTCAAATTCTTTTGTTAAAATATGTAGTGTCAGATCATAATTGGTATTTCATATACTGCGTGCTGGATAATAATGTGAAAGGACTCCATGGTTGTAAAACTAAACTAGCTCTTTATTAAGAGAACTATTTACAGAGATGCTACATCTGCAGGTAGCATTCTAGCCACGTGCATTCCCAATAGCTTCTCAGTGCTTCTTCCAAACTCTTTCCTTCTGCAACCTGTACTCCTCCCTCCAAGTTCCATGCAGGGTGCTACAGCTGGTTCATGCATCTTGTGCATGTGTTAAAGATGGGGGGTAAAGGGGAAATGGGGTGCAAGGAGCCTCCTTGATGCTTCTGCTGAAGAGTTAGCCACAGTTAACACCCTTGAGGTGCAAACCACACCAAAAGAGATGGAAAACGTTGGGCCCTGGCTCCAATACCTCCTCTGCACCAGCCAGCAGAGCGGCAAATGCTTAACAGTATATGAAAGAGTGCCAGGAATCTCTGTGACTCAGAGGCATGATGCCCCTTGTTGGTCTCACTGCTGTGTTGTGGCGCAGCATGATCCTCACGCCAGACAGTGCAGTGTTAATTGTCACAATATTCACCTTAATGTTTCACTTTCAAGCCTTGTGGGCCTGATTCTCCACTGCCCTATGCCTCATATTGTCATTTACTCCTGTGCAAAGTGGATGTAGAAAGCAAGTTGATTGGGTAGCAGTTTGCAGTCACCTTGCGGAAATATAAATGGCTATGCGTGGCACAAAGTAATAGCAATTTAAGCCCACTGTTCTTTGGTTTATGCAAAGTACACTGTAGTCAGTGTGAATAGGATCAGTTCCATAATGCACAATGACACATTTTAAAGCCACACAGTATTTATAAGGAAAATGGCATTTTAAAATTCATCTAACCTGCTTTAATCATACACAGAAAAAATGATTATAGAGACTCTTCTACAAAGTAGGATTACTAACTAGAAAATGTGATATGACTTTAGAAGAACATTTTCCTCACACAGAAGCTAAAAATGACTCTTTCTGCAGGATCAACTACCTTATAACCCTTTTCTGCAGCATGTCTAGCTGATAGCTTTTCAAAAATATCAAAGAAATATCTGAAAAGTCAGTTATAGACTGTGGAGAAGTGTATTTTTAATATGGATAAAAATATACCGTCCTCCGCCTGGTCAATGAATATGTATAAAGTACCGTACTAACTCTGCAATGAGGTTCTACCTATATAAAGCCAATGAGTGGTTAAATAGTCTAGCCACTTTACTACGTGGAATTGTTGGCTCTTTATATCACTTGTATCATGTACAAATAAAATGTAATTCTTTTTATAGTGATTAAATTTAAAATCTGTTATACAGAAGATTAGTATTATCTAGTGTGTTATTTAAGAGGATATAAATTAGTGGAGAACATATAATTGAATTATTATTTTTAAATTAGTAAAGGATACGAGCTTCTTAGACATAACAAAGACTGTGTAATTGAGTAGAAATGACTATTGCATACCAGTTCTATTATTTACTGAAGTCATTTCTAAAAATCCAGGCACTCCTTCATGCATTTCCTCCTTAGCTGATTAAAGTTGACACAACCTGTATAGAATATATTACCCTCTAAAACTTAGTTATACTTCTGCTGATGAAAAAGTTCTTACCAGGTTAGCTAGCATGTAGTGATAACCTCTGGAATGTTTACCAAGGATTACAACCTGTGTGTAGAAGAAATAACATGTATCACTTAATGTAAAAGAATGAGTCTCAACGAGCATAAGGAAAAAAACAAAAACAATGAACATTTTAGGAACACAGGACCCACTTCCATTCAAATTAATGACAAAATCTCATTGTCTTCATTGGAGGCTGAATTGGGCCCATATACTGTCCACTTAGGGTGACCAGATGTCCTGATTTTATAGGGACAGTCCCAATATTCAGGGCTTTGTCTTATATAGGCGCTATTACCTCCCACCCCGTCCTGATTTTTCACACTTGCTATCTGGTCACCCTATGCCCACAACTTGGTTTATTAATAATTCGTGCAACTGGGACCTAGCTCATGGCTACCTGAAGCTTTTGTGAGGACCTTCTGTGAAAGTTCCCCAACCAGCTCTGTCTCTATCAGCAATCTCCCCTTCATTTCAACTAACCCCTGCATCCAAGCAGCTAACTAGGGAGAGGTAGGAATTCGCTGACCGAGTGGGGTGCAGAGTAGATGGGAATTGCAGAACCAACAGGTTACTACAGAGAATATAATTGAGAGCTCAAGAAGAGATGATGCCACAGTAGGATCATGTGGCCTATGTAGCCACATAGGACTCCAGTTCAAAATGCCCAATAGGAACTGTCAGACATAAGGAAAGCAGAATTGGACCAATGGACTCCAGAGGCTTAACAGTAGCACAGACAATTCCTATCATAAATGGATAAGTATCTTGCTAACTGAACATAGGAAATCATTTTTTAACCAGCAGTTGTTTATGGATTCCAGTCTTAGAATGAATTATTTCACTTCTTAAAAGAAAAAATTTCTCACAGGAAAATTTTATCAAAGAACTGTTCTTCTCTACATGATTTCAGCCAGCTTCATTTTATTAGCTTTCTTGGTGTTATTTCTTGCTAGAAGAGACAGGAACAATATTTGCCATCTGCTGTTTGAGTGACCACTAGTCACACAAAGATCCTGGTTGTGGGTTTTTTTCAGTGCAGTCATTTTTGTGAGTACACAGTGAGCACGTTCATATTTCCCTTGCCTGTATTATGCCCACCTCTGTGCTCAGACAAAAGCAAGCTGCTGCTGGTAGTCTGGAACCTCTGCAGTGGTTATAAAATGACATGCTGGGTACCTTATTTGTGGGAAAGGGGAACGCAGGTGTGAGAGAGAGGTATGGCAAGGCAGTTTTGCCAGCATCATCAGCAGCGCTCAGCATCAGTTACAATCAAGAAGGGAAACAGAAGAGAAAAGCAAAGACTGGCAAAGGGGCAAGGAAAAGCTGTGCAGCCAAAGACAGCCCCCAAGAGCTCATGGATAGAGTGGTGGGAGGCTGTGGTTTGAGATGCTGTAGCAGCTGAGTTTTGCCAGTGCGGCGTAAGCGTCTCTCTTTCACCAGAGGAACGTGCAAGGGCAAAGCCCTACCATCACAAATGAGAGCCGAGCACACCCAGAGTACAATGCGGAATCCTAACGCTGGCAAAGTCACCTTGGCTATCACAGCATCCCCCCTGTCAAACTTTGGTATCAGCTTAATTATATCTGCTCAGTAAATAGGTAACACACTATTCCCCCACACACTTAGTTGGCTCCTGTTTACTTTGCTCCTCGTTTGTGGAGTACATTAGGATACGTGAAACAATCCATCAGCTGACTTTGTGCTGATTAAACTCTACAAAATGTCACTATCACAATTATACCACAGCAGGGCACAAATCAAACCAAGGGGCTTCCTGCTACATGTCTTTGGGAAAGCTGTTCCTGACATTTCAACATTGGGTGCCAACGTTATATTTAGGCACCTAAGTAAAGATGGCCCAATTTTCAGAGGTGCTGAGAACCCACAACTCCCACTGCAGTTGTGCAAGCACAGACAAGGTGAGAACTGGCCCTGTATGTCTAGGTCTGAATTCTGGTGATGCACAGGGGACAAAGAGGATGCAGCCGGATAAAAAAGCCCCATGCAGGCACCCCTCTGTGCAAGTGGAGCAGTTTGGCAGACAGCGTGGTACACAAGAAAACAACAGGAAATGCACCATTAGCTGAGTGGTTGTGGTCTGTGGGGAAAAAAGGAGGGTGACTAGGTCCTACCCCTGTCTGGCAAGCATGTGTTCTATCATTAGCTGTACACACAAGCCAGCCCTGATACCATTCGGCGCATGCCAAGAAAGGAAGCAAAGCACTCCCCAGCTTCAGAGGTGCTGAACAATTTTTATAGTGGGGGTACTGAGAGCCATTGAACCAAACTGTAAACCCTGTATATAATGGAAACCCCTTCAAGCCAGGGTGTGTGGCAGCACCCCTAGTTCTAGCACCTATGCCCATGTTGAATCACCAGTAATAAAAATTGTGCAGGTTAGATTGTGACTTTGCAATTCCATCTGTGCAATCCCATTGTCTTCAAAACATAACCTCAGCATCAGCAGTGCAACCCCATAGTCTTCAGGAAGGATTTGATCCTGCAATTACAAGTCAGTTCATCCTGCTGATTATGCATGAGACAGGATAGAATCAAGCTCACTCTCCTTTAGTTTTGTTGTGCTAACAGGAGTAAAAAGTAGTCAACACTTATATTTGTCGCTATACAAATTAGCTGTAACACTGACTACACACAGCGAGCAGCTCTGTTGAGTAAGAAGGTGCCACTTTTAAACATACACTTTTCAGAGTACACTCAACCTCTAAATGGAAATATCCAGCATGCCACATTATCACAACTCTCTGGCTTCTGTATGGGTGACAGATAAAGGATCCAGATGCCACACTCTAGAAGACACCTTTCCAAAAATGCCACTTATCTCCTTGATAAGCTCAACTGACATTTGAGTCGATGCCTTTGGATATACTGCTGGGCTGGTTACAATACTTGAATTATTAAATTCCCAGTTGCCTCTTTGGACTGCCTTGTCCTTAATAGAAGCCATTTCTTTTAACTTCCCATTTAATTCTGAGGAATTTGCATACTTCCAACAATTTGAAAATAAATTGCTAGACAGGTCCTCTTGAGAACTGTATGTACGCTCTATTGGTAGAAAACATCTGCTTGTCTATACTCACATTTGTTTTCTATGGAAATCTGCATGCTCCCCTTAGATGCATTTGGCATACATGCTATTTGCATACTAAATTCTCTGTATGTTTGCATTTTACATTAACAGAGGTGATTTACTTTTGAAAGGTTAGAGGCAAAGGATTTTACACTAGTAAATCAAGAGCAACATTCTTTGACATTTTATCCTTAGTAATAAGTGAGGCTTTCGTTTTTCTGACCAGAAATGTGCATATTTCTGAAGAGACAACACCATGACACTAAAAGCCATATTCTGCCTTTGAACTCATGCATGGGGTTTCCAGTGAAGTCAACAGGAATGTAGCAACTAGGAAACATAGTATGATGGAGCTGCAAAGCAGGGCACTACAACTCCCATCAGCTCCTTCCCCACTGCACTTCCCTTTCTCCCGGCCAGCAGACCTGAGGTCCATCTAGTCCAGTAGCCTGTCTCCATTAATAGCCAGAAATAATTCCGATTGCCCTAAAAAAAAATGGCCAAACTGCTTAATTCAAGCCTTAGTTTACAAAGCAGGTTCCAGAAGAAACCCTGCTAATATTTATATTCAAACATTACCCAAGCATGTCAGATTATAATTAGATATTAATAATGCTTTTAAAACTCAGCACATGTGCTAGCCTAACCCTAAACAAGCATATCCCATCTGCAAACATTACAGCAATTTGAATGAAGAGTTGCTGGATTAGCAAGCATAGCAGAACCAATCACCCACATCAATGTGGCTCCTAAGAGAGTAAAAGAATGGATAAAGCTTTTCATGAAGAAGGAAAGCAGGAGTATAACAAATAAATCTCATCAACTGCTGATATATTGTGGAGCTTATATAGGAAGGAGGATATTGAATACTGGCACTGAATAGAATGTTAGGATTACAGGACAAGGATTTCACTGAACTACATGTCTTTGGGATGTTTCACTTCCTAGACTTAATAATGCTTTCACCTTGAGTAAAAGGAAAGCATAGAAAATTTGATACTGAACAAAGGAGGATGAGAGGGGGAAAAATTGGTTAGAAAAAGTCATGAATAATTAAAATTCTGATCCTACCTACTTTTATCTTGTAGGTAGAAAGACTATGTCAGGTTTAACACACTGTCGCAACAAAGGTTTGTTTTTTTTAATTAACCCTTAAAATATGTCACCAGTTAATAAGCAGAAAAATCAAAAAGTGTCCTAATTAAAATGTCCTGGGCTTTAGAGTAAATGTCTCGAGCTATTGGGCAGGACCAGATGTTGTTTATGCTGAATGGAGTCTTGGATTATGTACCATTTTTGAGCGATTACATCAGCCTTGCAAGTTGCTAGTCTCTCACTTGCCTGGGGTGAATAATTTTTTTCGAATGGGTACATAAAATACCATTTGTTTATAATTATTATCAATCACCATGGTAATAAGGAGGCAAGTAGTGGTTGTATCTGGGCCGGTAAATTTTCAGTGCAATTTTCAAAGATACAGAGATTAGCTAAATTTGCTGTATTTATTCCATGTTGAATTGCTACAAAACCACTTGGCATTTCTCTAATAATAATGATGAAAAAAGCATGCTCTTATGATTATATGGCTACACAAATCAACTAGGTTTGAGAGAGTAGCATAGTTCCAAAGAAAAAGCTCACCAAAAAGCCCTGACTTCCTTTTCAGGTAGGTGGCGCTCTTCCGACAGTACAATACGTCCTGTCTAGATGGAATGTGATATACAGTGCAGCTTCATGTGTTTCAGCACTAACAAATCATTTTGTGCAACAACCGTATTATTTAGAGATATGGAACTAAATGGGAATAGTGGAGCTGAAACCCCCATACTACAGGGAAGTTCACACCCAGAGCTGACCTTTACAGGCCTCTCTTAGGAATGGGTTGAACTGGAACAACATGGGGAGGATTCTGAGGAAGATCAGTGATCATTCTCAGAAAGAACATCTCTCTCAA